ATATCATTTTTATGCAAAATGTTATAAGAAATATACACTTATGTCCATAAATTAAGGATAATGCAAAATCAGGGGCAAAGGAAGAGTTAGAAGCAAAACAAATTTGACTTATTTGTAAAGCTTATTTATTAAACAAAAGCTAAAGAGTAAAAAAGATGCTATATGTTTGATATACATGACGGAGAGCCGGTTTGGACAGTCGACCTGTGAAGACCACGCTGCGTTGCGCTCCTGCTATTTTTCGATTTTTCAAGTGGAAGTTTCACAGTGCGAAGTGCGTGTGATAAATCAAATTGTGCGTGAATGTGAGCTGAATCCAAGGATACATCGCATTAGTATGTGTGCATCGTAGTTTTCAAAAAATTTGTGAAAAAGTGTGTTCAATAATTTTGTTCACCTCATATGCCGTCCTTGTAACGGAAGGGTGCCGCCTGGCCACCACGTGGTTGCCGTACTAGGCTTAGGAAGTCCGTCGAAAAAATTCTAAGTCCAGAAATCTGTGATTTCTTTTCAAAAATCAATATCTTCGTAATTAATGCACTTAGGATTACCGGGTTTTCGGCAAATTGGTAAGTTCTTCATATACTATTATATTATATTTTCAATATGGCTAACTATAACTGCATTATCTTCGATATTAGTATCTTAAGACTAACCTTTTCTGGAACCTAGCTAAAATCTGGACCCAAATAAACTTAATTTTCTGATTGCTGTCTGAAACTTTATAAAATATGCTAGTAACACCAAAGGGTCTGTTCATTGGGCTCGGAATACTAGTTTAAACATGATACTTGATTTTGTCGAAACGTTGTGAATTTCGACACAACTCCTTCACGTCGTCGAGTGCAATTTCGGCAAATTCCTTACAGTGTATTCTCCATAGTTTTTAAAACTGTTTACTGTTATTTTAACTGTGTTATATCTTTTTGAGCTTTTTCTGTGTGCCTTTACATATCGTATACATATTTTTGATTGATTATATATTATTTTATATAATAATATATTATTTCTCTGTTTATATTGAACATTCATTATGTTTTACTGATATAAAGCATATTAACGTCATTTGTAATTATATTATACCAGTCTGTTTCTTATGGGAAATTAATTACCTAGTGTGAGCTTATGTAATATTCACGCATCGCTATGCCTCAACAATCAGTTTCGTTTACGGATGACCCAGTGAATGACAACTTTGATCCTACTGCATTGCTTGCAACTGATAACAATTATAGTGACAAAGTTAATTTGTTTATACGATCATATTCGTGCCATTGCAACTCTCTATCGAGGAGGAAAGTATACACTTCCTTTCGAACCACGAGAAAAATTGCTCCATTCATTGGATGCGTTACGGCAATTGGCTCTTCAGGGCCCGGATTACATCCCGAAACCAGCCACAGTTGAGGCTGAGGTGAATACATCAACAGTGGTCTGCTGTGAAGTTATTCATAACCCACCTATTATTTCATCTCTGCAGCAAGTTCCTTTAGTTCCAAATCCCCCTGCTTTGCCTTCTCCAGCTCCTGGACACTCTTTACGCATCTGCATTACAGCAATCCCTTCCGTCAGTTCTTACACCTACTTTACTAATATATCCAAAAGAGAACACAACTAGCAGGAAGCTTAGAGATAAACTTTCCCAGGAATTTCCTTTGCCGAAACTTGGAGTCCAAGTTAAACGGATCAAACCTATCCAACGGGGTGGATTGGCGGTGGTCTGCCAGTCGGAAGAAGATCGGAAAAAATTAGCAGCTACTTTAACGTCTGATCACGCAGCTACATTAGTTAACGTAAAGAATCCCACAACAAAAAAAAACCCCTTATTGCAATTCATAATTTATCCCCAGATCTGACACAGGAGGATTTACAGCTTACCATACAAGAAGACTTTGGCCTCACTAGTGACGAAGTTAAACTTATATTTCGTCTAAAGCAGCGACGCAATGTCAAGTGGGTTGCCGAGTGCAGCCCAAGGGCATATCAAACCTTCATGTGCAACCCTCGCATCTACATCGGCTGGCAAGGCCACCTTATCACTGAGCACTTTAATGTCAAAAGATGTTTCAAGTGCCAACGTTTTGGGCACCTGCAAAAAGACTGCCGCAGCGTCCACTATTGCGCATTGTGTGCTGGACAACACGATACCAAGGACTGTTCGGCCGATGCCGATACAGCAGCATGCATCAATTGCATCGATTATAACAACGGCAGCAGATATCAAGTCCCGATTGACCACGCAGCAAACTCCAACACCTGTTACTGCTACCAAAGTAATATTGACAGAATCCGAAGCATCACCACCTATGAGTAGAGATGCCCAGTATAATGTTTCATGTAATTCTGTTCCTAACATCAAATTCTTGCAAATTAATCTTCAGAAAGCTCAAGTTGCAACTGCCCAGGCAATAGAGTTTGCGTTAAGCAACAAAATTGATTTTCTTCTCGTTCAAGAGCCATATACTAGACATGGCAAAGTGGTTGGTTTTCCTTTATTATGGACTGTATATCATCAAGAAAATTCAGAAGATTCTCCACGCTCAGCAATAATTAATTGTAACCCTCAATTCTCTCCATCAATTATTACTATTACTAAAGATCAAGTAGCACTTTTATTAGAATTAGAAAATTTTACTATAGCATTATTTTCGATCTACTCCAGTCCCTCAGATGATATCAGCACTACAATCTCTTTCCTGGAACACTATACAAGAGTTCTTGGTAATAAACATCAGATTATCAGCGGCGATTTTAACGCTCACTCTGTTGCTTGGGGCTATCGAACAACAGACCCCAAAGGCCGTCTGTTAGAAGACTTCTTATCTTCTAAAAATTATGTATTACTCAATGCCACGAATACAATTCCTACTTTCGACAGACTATATGCTGTGGGTTGGCCGGACCTGACCTTTACATCCGCCAATACCTCTCACTTAACAAGTAATTGGACGGTCAGAGATGAGATTTCATTATCTGACCATAAATATATCACTTTTGAAGTAACACAACATAGTTCTTTACCTATCTTACCTCGTTATAATCTTCCTGGCAGGAAAATTAATCAGTTTAGTCGAAAAGTTCGTGGAACTCTTAATCGTCTTCGTCACCAAATCAACTCTTTAACCATATCTGAAGATATTGAACGTTTTTCAGAGTCCTTAATGCAAAATCTTCAAGATATTTGTCACGAAATACTTCCAAAGCGAACTACCAAGCAGCTCCATACTTTACATTGGTGGAACTCTGATCTTCGCATACAGCAGCGGAAGTGTCGTGCGCTTAGGCGACGATTAAAATCTGAACGACGCAATGGAATAACATCTAATACTCTTCAAGTTTTTCAAAGAGAGCGTGCTCTGTATAAACGGATGATTATGCAGAGCAAAATAGAAGCTTGGAGAAAATACTGCACATCAAATAGAGAAATATTTGGCTTACCCTATAAGATCGCTCGAGATAAGCTTTTCCAGCCTGCATCAACGTATCTTTCAGAATCATCACTTGCTGGGTCTAGCCCAATAGAAAATACTATTAATGATATTCTAGCATCAGTTCTTCCTCAGGATGATATTACAGATGACTCCCCAGAGCACTTGTCAATTAGGCAGCAAACTTCTATTCCTAACACAGAGGATGATCCACAGATTACAATTACAGAAATTAAAACCACTCTTCGAAGTATTCCAAAAAAACGGGCCCCAGGCCCCGACGGGATTGACTATTCTATAATTCGTGTAATCATTAATTCCCACATCTTCTTTTTCTGTGATTATTTTAATAAGTTATTTCTTAATGGTGTATTTCCTCGTATCTTCAAAGCTGGAAGAGTGGTTTTCTTTTCTCAAAAAAGGCAAAGATCCGCAATTATCCACATCTTATCGATCTATATGTCTATTATCTGCTCTGGGGAAAGTTTATGAAAGAATTATTGTCTACCGTTTAAAACATTATCTTCACAAAATTCACTTTTTAAGTGATCACCAATATGGCTTTAGACCAGGTAGGTCTACCCTACAAGTATTATCAAAAATTACAGAAGATATACATCGTAATCGCAACAATGGTCACCACAGTGCTTTCATCAGTATAGATCTTAAGAATGCTTTTGACTCACTGTGGTGGCCTGCAATACTGGAGGCACTTCGACAAGCTGATTGTCCTCAGAATTTATTTCTTGCATTTCAAAGTTACTTGTCGGAAAGAAAAATTATCTACTCCACTAATCATGGCATTATTACAAGACAACAAAACAGAGGCTGTCCGCAGGGTTCTTGTGCTGGCCCTGATTTATGGAATATAACATTTAATTCTGTTATTGCCGCAAACTGGCCAGCACATACCCGGGCATATGCGTATGCAGATGATACAGTTTTTTATCATTCAAGGACGAACTCGAGAAGAGTTGCAAAGAAATGCTATTGAAACCTGTGATCTCTTTTATAACTTATGTTCTAGAATTAAATTAACAATTTCCGAACCAAAATCGCAAATTTTATTAATCCCTAAAAAAGGAGGATCTTTGGTTCGACGGCCTCGAATCACCATTCATGGTACACGTATACCTATCAAACCGCAGCTCAAATTTCTCGGCGTTATCTTTGACGAGAAACTGAACTGGATGCCGCATGTTTTGGAACTAAAGAGACGAACTGTTATAATTGCATGTAAATTGCGTCAAATGCAGGGTCGTGGATGGGGAATTAGTCCCTATATACAAAAGGTTCTTTATCTCACCGTTATCGAGAGAATGGTCACCTATGCGGCTGCTATATGGGCTGAACCCATGCAGGGTCGCAAAGTGCGCCACTTGCAAAGTCTCCAGCGTCAATTTGCCTTACAGATAACTAGGGCGTTTCGTACTACCTCATCCAGTGCATTAAATGTCATGGCGGGACTGATCCCTCTTCATCTACGTATTCTGCAGGAAGCAGCAATACAATCCGTCAAGGTTTTGAAAAAACCTTTCATCCTATTTGATGAACTTTTCACACCATTGCACTATGAAACAACCCTCACAACATTTGGATGTGCATCCAGTCCTTCAAGGAACAGGACTTCGGATTTTCCTTAAGGACGTAACACTGCCACCTATCCCAAGCATTCAATATTACACTGATGGATCTAAAATAGATCAACAGACAGGCTGTGCCCTTGTAGCCTTTCATAATGGTCAGTCAATTTATCAGTGGCTGGGTCATCTCCATGGAAATAATAGTGTATTTCAAGCGGAGGCCCTAGCCATCCTCAAAGCAGTTCAACACTGTAAAACAAGTGGTGCTATGGAGGCAATAATTATCACTGATAGTCTTTCGTCGCTTCAAGCGATTCAAAACCCCAGACATTCTTCTTCGCTTATCTCGGACATCCAATGTGAACTTCGTAATCAAGTGGGAAATAACATCACGCTAGCTTGGACTAAGGGCCATGCTGGGGATCACGGTAATACTTTGGCAGATAAGTTAGCCAAATCAGCTGCCGAAAATACCGATGCCGAGGCTGAAGAAGTGATTCTTAAGTGGCCAACATCTCACTTAAAACGAGCTCTTCTTTTAAAAGTTATATCCCAATGGCAACTAGAATGGGATACTGATGAAACCGGTCGACGAACGTACAATCATATTACGTATGTGGATCAATGTCGTCAGATAACAAATCATCAACTAGTAAGATATATCTCGGGGCATGGTCCATTTCCAAGCTACTTTTACAAGCATGGAATTGCAAATAGTGAATATTGTGTCTGCGGAACTCTAGGCATACCTGAACATTATATTACTACATGCCCGTTAACGGAGGAATTTCACATTCCTTTCCCTGTGGATAATCAACTAGCATTTAGTAAATTTTTAATTAAGCAGAAGTACCTTATCAGAAAACTCTCAAAAATTATGGACATTCTCCACAGTTATGGATCTGATCTATGTCAGGTTGTCTAATGTTAATGGTTTTTTCCTGTTTTCATAATACAACTGTATTCTTGTACACTCCAGTTGCATTCTTGTCTGTTTACATAGTGTTTTCATAATACAATTGTATTTTTGTACACTCCAGTTGCATTCTTGTCTATTTACATATTATAACTATATTCTTTCTTTTTAATAGTCCCAGTATTGTTACAAATATTATTAAAAATTGTATTGTATTTTTAAATGCACTATAAGATATTGCACAATAAGTATTATACTCGCAACCTCAAACTATACATATGGTATTACTATCTTACTGAATTACAAGCTACATATTAAGTATTCTAATCTGGTTATATATCAAAAATATTGTATCGAGCATTGTAATAACTATTGTATCAAACTATTAGCATTGTATCATATTTCATTATAATTACAATATACAATATTTGCACTCTAAGTACTGCATTATATTCTAACTAGTCTATTAACTTAATTTACTTATTATTTTAATTCTTGCATTAATTATTGTATTAAGTTGGTAGTTATGTAATATTATGTTGAGTTATAAGCTCTACCCTAAGAATATGTGATGCAACATATTGAAATTATGAACATCGTATCGCTATGTATGCTTTAGTATGGAACTGTAAATTAAATTCTTTGCAATACAGAAACTGGATTATTAGCATAACGTTATAAGTAGTCTTGATTCAACTTGGCATTAACTATTTTATTGAATTACATGCAGAATTTTAGACTTTAGAGATTTAGATTTAGTTTATTGATTATATTGAATTATATGTCGTGTTTTGCATATTGCACAGAATTATTAATATTGAATTGATCATAAGTATTTTTTATACATTATATTGGTATAACTATATTGTTGCATTGTATCGCATATTGCACAGAATTAATAATATTGAATTGATCATAGGTATTTTTATACATTGCATTTGTATTATATACTGTTGCAAAATATGTCTTTTTATCCTCAGTATTGTACTGAAGTGTTGCTTTTGTGTATTGTATACAAAGTATTGCATTTAATTCGCTTTAGTTATTAAGAACATTGCCTTATAGGCATCATACTATTAAGAATATATATTGCACTTCTTTTTATACCCTGAGATACGTACTGAATTAAATATTGTATTAATTATTTTACTGAACTAGCAATTGTGTTAAAATACTGTATGAAAGTTAAAGTAGTATTTTGGTCTCTTTTGCTTTAAATATTCCATTAAATTATAAATAGTATCATAGACGTAGCTTATCGATTTTATACTGTATCATATGTCTTGTATTGCATATTGCATAGAATTATTACCAATTACTTGACAATATGTATATTTTTCTACATTGCATTTGTCTATATACTGTCACATACTCTATTTATTTACTCTTAGTATTGTATTGTACCTATTGTTGTGTCTTGTATACTAACCCTGTAAGCATGTTAATTTACCTATTGTATCACATATCTTACGTATTTGCAGTACATTATATTATATCGTATAACCGTATTGTATATATATATATATTAAATTGTGAGCTATGTATGGATGTGTATCATCTTATATGAAATTGCAATGTT